TGAAGAGTGTGATACCTCTATCTTTTCTTCATTTACTATACTCAAAACATTATTTTATGCATCACTATATTCATGCATGACATGAAATGTTGTATTTTGTTGTATGGTCATGGACATTGTTACTTCACATGTTGTATATAGTGTAGAGATGTTTGTAATAAGTCACTACATAAGAGAGAGAGTGGGATGTACTGTAGTAGGAATTTGGAAGGACCTCTAATTGTGATTTTTATTAAAGAAACTGCCAATATGACATCCACCTTACTGTACTATAGTATTACAGAAACACCTCTTTTTGAAATTCAATTAACTATATAAAACTGTTGAAAAATGTCAATTTCAAATATTATTAATAATTATTTTACTTACTATAAGCAAGAGTTCATTATATTTGTGGGCAGTATACATGTACATTGTGTTTAGTCACTGTTGTAATATTTCAGTTACATGCAGTTATTAGTACAAACTGGATTATTGTTTGTTACTGTATATCCTTATTATTGTAAATGGTAGTCCATAGATTATGGCATGCAATCAATAGTAATGAGATATCATAGCTCTTAATTACAAGTGGTATAACAGAAGGTATCACTACTAAACTAGTTATGTATATTGTATATGCTGACATTCTAACAAATATTGTGTGTATTACGAATAATCATTGTTATTATACCAGTTTTGATGGAGAAGATATCATGATATCTAAATGAGACATCATACTGATGAGACAATATTGAATATCACCCACTCTTACTACTGGCAGATGTGCTACTAGTATTAGGCTGACAAACAGGTCTAGGGTGCCAGTTATAGTAAAACTGTGACCACCACTCTTCATTTACTATTCAAAGAACTATTATAATTCTGTTCAGTAGTGCATTATTACATGTATATTCATGGTACATGAAATGTTGTGTTTTGTGTGACCGTGGCATGCTTGAACTTACTTCACATGTTGTATATAGTGTAGAGATGTTTGTAATACCGTATAGCCACAAAGTTTTGAGGCAATTAACTTTCGCAAATCAGGCCACAAGTCTTTTTTTGCAAATTAACTTTCATGGTTCCTATTTCAAAGTACACGTGTTTATAAGGTGATACGGGTACTTTTATGGAATTAACTTTTGCATATACGAAAAATTTGCAAAAACAGCAAAAATTGTACCCTCAAAATTAAATGGCTATATGGTAGTTAAGTCACTACATACTACATTTAGTGAGTCACATGACACAGTGTCACATGATACATGTATTTACTATACATTATGTTTGGGACTGCATGGTCTTAAAGTGTTAGTTAAATCATAGATATTATGGTTAAATTAATGCATGTTCATGTACATACAACTACTATACAAAATGTTTTCTTCTTTAAACGACTTACATTTAAGGTTGATACACCCACACAAATAATACACCATGATGTAATTGTATAAACTTGCCTTTAGTAATTAGGTGTGGTGATATTATAAATTTAACAAGCGTATAACAGTGACAGTAAAAATATTCCTATATATAATTGTTTTCATCACCTTGCATGTACAGTTGGATTTTATTACAACTTATAGAGGTTCTTTCTACCTTCAAATACTTCTAGAGAAGTCTTAGACAGTACCTCTATGTTCTTTTGCTGTTAGAATTTGAAAGCATATACAAGCTTGTCCCATGTGTAAGCCGCCATTTTGTTTGCTGTGGCCACACTTACTACCTAAAGGAGGGTGGGTGGGTGGTTGCTAAGGCCCAATACAACGTGTATAGCAGAAATGTAAAGCTCACCATAAAGGCAGACTTAAGGTGAATTTACAATTATTACGATAGGCTTGACGTTACGTTGACGTTGGAATAGGATTTGGTTTAATTCTAGCGGAAAGCATGCGTCAAAAGGTCAAATCGCCCACGCTCTTAATTAAAAATTGACGGTACACTGGCCTAATGTCATATTGTAAATCTGCCTTAAAATGCAACGCAAATGAACACAAAATTGAAAATATGACCAATTTTGCATCAACTTCAAAGCATTTTTGCGTCAAAAGGTCAACTCACCCACGTACTTTTGACCATTTTGTTGAATGTAAATCTAGCTTAAGTGTTGACATACAATTATTTATACATTGCACGTGGATGAATTCAATTATAGGTACTTGGACTCGCCCATTTAAGTTATTCCTTGACTTTGACCTTGCTCTTTCTGAAGGCAGAGTCACCAACTAATCAAACTCTATCAATTTTTATTCTAACTTTTATTTTCTTTTCTTTTATTTTCTTTTGTTTTATCCCTACACTACTTTGTGCTTTCTCCTTATTCATCACTTTGGCTCATTGATTTCTTTATTATTTTGCAGATTTAGTTTTCTTGAAATTATACTGTCTGCCATCTTGCACCATGTATGGTATCCCATTACATTTTAACAAGTGATAAAGATTAATAAACTCAGTCCTTCCCCCCCCTTGCAGTATTTCAAGATATCATCAAAAACTTTTCTGTTAACTTGAAATTTAAGATATTTTACACTGCATGTATAGAAGATGTACATGTATATTAAACTACTGCAGTGTACTGCTACTAATGAATGATAATGAATTGTTCATTCTCCAGTGGACATTAGTCGCTCCTTCTGAGTTTCATCTCAACATTTTTTATTCTCCCAATATAGGAATGATTCCAATAAAGGCTAGTCCAAGGCTGATAATCGTATTGCATTGGCCAATATATACCATTGAGGTCTGATTTAGAGCACTTGCTAAACCACCAAGCTCCTTCATTCATGACTGCATAATTTTTTGTAGCGATCATATCATTATCTCTATCCTTAGTAGAGAACTTCATTCCGTTTGTGCAGATCATACCATCTCCAGCATCACCTCCATATCCAGACACAGTCAGTGTGTACTCTGTGTCTGCATTCCCTACTTTAAAAGTAGAATAAGTAGCATACTTCTTCTCACGAGGGTAGGGAAACGTTTCAAAGTCAACACGGAGACTCGTGCTTTGTCCTGCAGTAAGTCGGTTTATTTTGTTAAGTCCCAGCCAGAACTCTTCGTTGAGGTCTCCAAATCCTTTTTCATAGTCAGCCCAGTTGCGGTAGAAGTCAACTAAACCATTCATTCTCCTTTGAAATACAGTCCATCCACTCCCATTCGTCATGTCACAATAGACCTATTGAATATAGTGATTTTAATATGGATATATTGATATATTATATTTACCTCAAAGGCTGGTAGTTCATCAGGTTTCACAGTATATACTCCACTGCATGTGTTACCACGTTCATATACCTCCTTACAATCACGAGGGTGACAAGCTATACATTAACAAATAGTCATATCTATTATTATTAATGTCATGACTTACATGTAGCTTGTGTTTCCTGTGCAGTAGCAATGCTAATAAGAATGAAGCATCCTATCAGCTTAAAATAAGAACAGGAATCCATCTTGTCTTGACTTGCTGTATAGAACTAATACTGAACAATCCTTTTACTGTAGGTTACCAGTGATGAGTGTTTGTGTACAGCTACTGCTTTTATAACATGCTGGAGCTTTATTTCAGATATTATTAATATTATACTTACAACTGGCAGGTTTGCAGGTGTTACTATAGTATTTGGCTGACAAACAGGTCTAGGGTGCCAGTTATATTTAAAACATACTAAACAAACTGAAGAATGTGATACCTCTATCTCCTCTTCATTGACTACTCAAAACTATATTCAGTATGGTACATCACTATATTCAGGGTACATGAAATGTTGTGTTTTTGTGTGTCCATGGACATTGTTACTTCACATGTTGTATATAGTGTAGAGATGTTTGTAATAAGTCACTACATAAGAGAGAGAGTGGGATGTACTGTAGTAGAAATTTGGAAGGGCCTCTAATTGTGATTCTTTTTTAAAGAAACTGCCAATATGACATCTACCTTTGTACTATAGCAATACAGAAATTTTTTATAAACACTTCTTTTTGAGATTCAACCATATAATGCAATCTATAGAAAAAACAACATAATTATTGTGAAAACTGTAGCTTCATTTTCTCAAAAATGTGAAATTCGGATACTTAATATACAGTTATACTTTGTGTTTAGTAACTATTGTAATATTTCAGTTACAGTTTTTAGTATTGTATTTGCAACTGCTGCATTGAATATCTTTTCTTACTATATATCCTTTATGTGAGTAGTATAGTCCAGATGATGTCATGCCATTATTAGCAATGAGAATTTTTCATCACTCTTAATGCAAGTGCATGCATGGTAGTGTATGGTGTCACTACTGTATAAACTAGACAAAGTTATGTGTACCATACTGGGGTATGCTGGCATTCTAGGAACCTTTAAACAACTATTGTGTATTGTGAATAGTCATTGTTATTACCTGTATAACAGTTTTGATGGAGACAATATCATGCTATCTAAATGAGACATCATACTGATGAGACAATATTGAATATCACCCACTCTTACTTACTACCGGCAGATGTGCTACTAGTATTTGGCTGACAAACAGGTCTAGGGTGCCAGTTATAGTAAAAACATAAAAAACAAACTGAAGAATGTAAGACCTCTATTTTTCTTCATTTACTACTCAAGACATTATTTTATTCAGTATAGTGCATCACTATATTCATGCATGGTACATTAAATGTTGTATTTTTTGTGTCCATGGACATTGTTACTTCACATGTTGTATATAGTGTGGAGATGTTTGTAATAAGTCACTACATAAGAGAGAGAGTGGGATGTACTGTAGTAGAAATTTGGAAGGACCTCTAATTGTGATTCTGTAGAAAGGGAACTGCCAGTATGATATCCCGGCACTTTTGTACTTTGTAACTTTGTACTATAGTATTACAGAAACATGTCTTTTTGAAATTCAATTAACCATATAAAACTGTAGAAAAACTTCAATTTCAAATGTTATTAATATTTTACTTACTATAAGGGTGGGCAATATACATGTACATTGTGTTTAGTCACTGTTGTGATATTTCAGTTACATGCAGTTATTAGTACAAACTGGATTATTGTTTGTTACTGTATATCCTTATTATTGTAAATGGTAGTCCATAGATGATGGCATGCAATCAATAGTAATGAGATATCATAGCTCTTAATACAAGTGGTAGTATAAAAGGTATCACTATTAAACTAGATAAAGTGATGTGTACTGTATATGCTGACATTATAGAAACATGCAGATATTGTGTATTACAAATAATCATTGTTAATATAACAGTTTTGATGGAGAAGATATGATATCTAAATGAGACATACTGATGAGACAATATTGAATATCACCCACTCTTACTTACTACCGGCAGATGTGCTACTAGTATTTGGCTGACAAACAGGTCTAAGGTGCCAGTTATAGTAAAAACATAAAAAACTGAAGAATGTAAGACCTATCTTTTCTTCATTTACTATACTCAAAACATTATTTTATGCATCACTATATTCATGCATGACATGAAATGTTGTGTTTTTGTGTGCCCATGGACATTGTTGCTTCACATGTTGTATATAGTGTAGAGATGTTTGTAATAAGTCACTACATAAGAGAGAGAATGGGATGTACTGTAGTAGGAATTTGGAAGGACCTCTAATTGTGATTTTTATTAAAGAAACTGCCAATATGACATCCACCTTACTGTACTATAGTATTACAGAAACACCTCTTTTTGAAATTCAATTAACTATATAAAACTGTTGAAAAATGTCAATTTCAAATATTATTAATAATTATTTTACTTACTATAAGCAAGAGTTCATTATATTTGTGGGCAGTATACATGTACATTGTGTTTAGTCACTGTTGTAATATTTCAGTTACATGCAGTTATTAGTACAAACTGGATTATTGTTTTTTACTGTATATCCTTATTATTGTGAGTGGTAGTCCATAGATTATGGCATGCAATCAATAGTAATGAGATATCATAACTCTTAATAC